ATATTTTTAAAAACAATCGAATAAATTAAATTTAGTTAAAAAACTAGCATTTTAAGTGTTTGTTAAATTTGTATAAATTTGTATTGACTGGTGGACATTTTAATTAACGAATTTTTTTATTTATTTATTTAACTACATACTTTTTCTGCAAAGTCGGATTATGTTTAAAAGGGTTCCATGCAAAAGGGGTCATATTTTCCAAAATTATAATATAGTGACAAACTTTTAGCAAGTTAGGGCATATCATCAAGATTAAAATTGCATTGGGACCCTTGCACGAAGATGTTGTCGTACGCAGTTAGGAATGCTTCCTTATTATGACCTGCTCAGAAGCACATGAAAAAACACAGTTAATAATCGAGAAGCATCCCTAGCGGCATATGACGACATTCTTGTGTGAGGTTTCTTATGCAATTTTAATCCTGATGATGTGCGCTAACTCCCCAAGAGGTTTATCGTAACATTTAGGATCTCTTAATACACGTAACTTTTGTGCACATTTCGACAAAAAAAAGACTAAAAATGTCATTTAAAAAATTTTAAGTTGGAGAGAGCAGCCGATTTCATTTGAAATCAGTCGCTCTCTCAATTGATCGTGTTTGAAATCAGTGACATGAAAATATCCAATATCCATTAAAAAAACAACTTCCTCCTGAGAGTAATCCTTAAGTATTCAGCAGCATTTACTAATTTTAAAGACCATACTTTTTCTTTAAAAAATGTTATTAACATTTCTAAACACATGTGAGTATTCTTGAAAAATATGCCGCTCATTCCTTCGTATGAAACCTGTTTTAAATAAATCCCATCCAGGGAAAAAGAGGATAAAAAAGAATGAAAAGGAACGAAAATCTCTAAATGTATGCTAGCCGATACTTATGGCAATATTAAATAACTTGTTTTAGAGCAATTACGTTAATTTTTAAAATTGGGGTACTTATTTGTTGATAAATGAGACCATCAATGCTTAAGTTACGTATGAATGTTTGGGAGATATATTTGTCCCGAAAAATTCAAAATGCACGAAAAACTTAATTTATATTTAAAAATTTTTTTACATAGCGCTTGTCATAATGCTGCTAATATACGAAAACTTAATGATATTTCGCATTTTTCAAGAGGGAATAATTAAAAAAAAGCCTATTTTATAAAGTGGAATGAGTGTCCTAGTTTTCTAAATTTTAATCACAAGTATTGAGGATTTGTCAAACATTTACTCTATAATAAATTGTTGATCAAATTATGGAAAAGGTATTGGTACTCTGCGCACCTGTAATTTTTGTAATAAACTTCAGTTTTAGTATATAATTTTAGAGAATAAAAAAAAGACTGACGTAACGTAATTTTGCACTAATATTTACAATAAATTCACTAAATGACTGTAATTCAATAAATATTAGTGTAAAAATTATGGTATACTATTTTATGGTAAAAATCAATTTTGCGAATGGGTTTCAGGGTTTCAGCACTTTTTACTGTAATTACCGAAAATTTAAACAGTTTATTTAGTGCTTATAGTTTTATGTAATTATTATTTATTTATTTTGCAACGTGTTACTGATTTAAAACTGAATTTAAAAAAGAAAAAGAAAAAATAGATTCATTCTAAATAATTTCTTTTTTAAAGAGTTTGTTTTATTGGTATTAACTGACTTCATAAATTTTATATTACTTTTGTGATGTGTATTCATTTGAAACTTCTTTTACATAAGTTTCTATAAAGAAAAAAGCCTGGTATTTCCAGAAAATATCGATATACTTGTATATTTAATCTAAAAATATTTAAACACGCTGAAAGTTTATTTTTCACCGAAACTAGTCGATTTCAAACTGGCTTCAGGCAGAAGAAGATGGGTCGATTTTTTTTGTTGAAAATATAAACACACGTGTCTCGAAATTTGTTATTCACATTTTTTTTTAAAAGTAAGCCTTTAAACAAAGTCTTTTATTTTTGTAATGTGTATATAGGCGGATAATTTATAATTCTTTTTATTCTTTTTCGCATGCGGAATTTAATTAAGACTGAAATATTTCGAAAGCATAATCATCATAGTTTCAAAAATGCACAAGCATACAAACAAGCACAAGCAAGTTTTATACAAACTCAAAAAGATAATAATGATAATTTGGACAAAAGCAAAATTTTTAACCACGATTTTTATATTGATATTGACTTGGGAAACTTCCAAGGTACTTATTGGTATGGACAAGTGGAATAATATTTATAAATTCTGATATCAAAATTTTTTTTCAGATTAATTATTTTCATAATATAACAATGTACTTGATTGTTTCAAGAGCATTAAAGTAATCCACAGGTATGATAGGCGATTTTTCCTGAAATGTTTTCAAATCTAAAACAGAATTGATATGGTAGACTCCAAATTTGGACATGTAATCAAAATTTCGCTTTAATCTCAGGATCTAAGATCGACGTTCAGTAATAATCTATATTTATAATTTATTTTTTGCTTTGTGTACAAAGTATTGCTTAAAGGGCGGAATTTAATCTATATTTTTTTTTAAAATCCTGTCATAAATTAAATCAAAAATGCACATATGAAGGGCCTGCAAATTAATATTCAATCTTGGAAAATGGAGGGTGTTTTCTACACTAGGGAACACTGCAAGCTCGGTACCGCCTAAATTTCCGGTTTACTGTTTCCGTTGTATTTTAAAGCCATTTGGCATCATTGTGTGTTTAGATTCTTGCAAACAATGTATTTGATTACTTATTACTTGTGTTTACAATGCCAACAATACTTGTGTTTACAATGCTAAAAGTGTGAACACTAACGTAAGATGGCGCACAGCTTGCGACGAGAACAAACAGTGATAAACTTATGGAAAGAGGCCATATCAAGACTGCCAAAAAAGCGAGTTATTCAAAATCTAGCAACCATGTCACCTTTTTTAACAATATATCTCTAAATAACGAAAACAAATTTTCACTTCAAACTCACCAGAATTACATAATAACATTAATATTTTATGAAATACGGCAGATTTGAGCTCAGAAATTATCTAATTTATTTCTTTTATT